CTTTGCTGTGAGAAGAGTATCCAAGGAAGATTCCCTCATCACTTCTAGGATCAAATTTATCAAGCTGGTCCTTCCCATTATTATGCACATAACATTTACATCCAAAAATGCGAAAGTATGTAATGTTGGGCTTTCGACCTTTAAGCAGTTCATAGGGAGTCTTATTTAACTTTGGTCTAATGAGACCTCTATTCAATATATAGCAAGCAGTGTCAACAGCTTCTCCCCAAAAACTCTTTGGGAGACCACTCTCAATGAGCATCGTCCTCGCCATCTCCTCAAGAGTTCTATTCTTCCTTTCTACAACACCATTTTGTTGAGGTGTTATAGGGGCTGAGAAGTTGTGATTAACTCCATGTTCCCTACAATAATCAATAAAGTTAGCATTATCAAATTCAGTACCATGGTCTGATCTTACCGAGACCAGCTTGTGGGTGAGCTGGTTCTCCACTTGTTTCACCAATGTTACCCATTCTTCAAACGTTTCATCCTTTGTGTGTAACATCATTACCCAAGTGTACCTAGAATAATCATCAACCATAACACAGACATATCTATGACCTCTTCGACTTTGTACTCTCATGGGACCACACAAATCAATGTGTACAAGTTCGAAGGGTCTGCTGGTACTCAAAACAGTTTTAGACTTAAAAGAAATTTTGACCTGTTTCCCCCTTACACATTCAGAACAAACTTTATCAGCTTCATACTTAATGTTAGGAAGGCCTACAACTAAGTCACGTGTTTTAAGTTTGTTTAGAAGTGTTAGGCTAGCATGTCCAAACCTCTTATGCCAAATCCATTGATTATTGTCAGAAACAGCTCTCAAACAGATGGACTTGTCTTGAGGGATTTTATCTAAGAAGGTGATGTAAACATCATGCTTCCTGGTTCCCTCACATACAAGTTCTCCTGTTTGTGAGTTAACTATGTGACATAGGTTGGCTTGAAACTCAACTATATTACCTTTGTCACATAATTGAGAAATACTCAAGAGATTATGTTGCAAGCCTTCAACATAATAAACATCATCTATTGCGTTAGAAAGTGTCTTACCAACCTTACCTAAACCAGTGATGGTTCCCTTGCTGTTATCCCCAAAGGTGACACTTCCTCCATCAAAGGCCACTAGTGAAAGGAATTGATCTTTATCCCCGGACATGTGTCTTGAGCAACCACTGTCCAAATACCAATAGGTGTCTCCCTTCACTCTAGCCTGCAAGAGCAAATCAAACATTAGTTTTAGGAACCCAAACATACTTGGGTCCCTTTTCAACAACATTAACATCTTGTTGATCCTTTCTTCTCCACACATATTTTACACCCTTGCTGTTCTTATTAGCACTAATTTTCTTAGCTGGACATTCATGTATCTTATGTCCATTTTTACCACAATGAAAACACACATGCATCTCTTTAGTCATGACATACTTGCCTCGTTGATATTCTTTGATCCAGGTGGTTTCTCTGGGAGACCAGTTAGTCCTGGTTCTCTGTCTAGTATAACCAAGACCAACTTTTCCTCTGTTTCCTCTTGATGAAGTCAGGTAATTTAAGGATTCTTGAGCATTCAATAATTTGTCCACATGTCTATGACTATCATTAAGTTCTTTTTCTCTGGTTTCAAGTGTTTTAGTTAACAATTCGTTTTTCTCTTTAAGAAAATCAAAGTTACTTTTTAAAGCTTCGAATTGTAGATTAAGCTTTGAAACCATAGAGTCAATAGACATGTCAACAACCACTGGTTGCTTGTCCTTTTTCAGTTGATTGATTTCCGCATGCAAATCACAAATATTACTTTCATACTTATCAATCGTATTACTGACATCTACACTGGTACCTGTAGGGGAAACAGTGAACTGTGCAGCTTTAAGTGAAGCAATTTCCTTGTGAGAGTTTTCCAGGTTGTAAGCCAATGTTTCAAAGGCCTTCAACAAGGAAGTTCTAGTACACGAATTTGCTTTACTTATAGCTACTGAGAAATCAAGAGTATCACTAGTGGTTGATAAGTCTCTAGGGAACCAGGAGGTCAGATCCTCTTCACCATCAATTGGTTCAAACGATCTTTCCTTTTCTAGTTCCACTTTACACTTGTCCAATTCAACCTCTAGTTCTGCTACTTGATTTTTTAGTTCATAACAGACTCCTTCTAGATGATCACAACTAGCAATAGCAATATTACATTCACCACGTTTTTCTTTTAATTCTCTTTTGCAAGTTATGTATGTTTCACTTAGTTTATAGCATTCATCTAGTAAGGAATCAATACAAGCAAGCATATTTTCTCTATCATATTCATGCATATCTTCTCTAATTTGCTCTAAGCTTACCTTGCGTTCATGTAGTACATCCTTCTTTGCCATAAAGCATTTGTTGAATGTACTGGTTCCCCCTCTGGTTCCTGGACCAGTGCTGTTTTCCTTGATGTTTGTAAAGGCAGTTAGGCAAACATCTGAGTTGGGTGATCCTTCTTCTTCAACTGACCCTGAGTCAGAGTCTCCCCACATGGAAGCTATCATGGCATTCTTGTATGCTTGTTTATCTCCGGATTTAGACTGTTTGTCATTCCACTTAGGACAATCTCGAATAAGATGTCCTTTTTCTCCACACTTGAAACATCCTGTAGAAGAAGAATTAGAGTTAGATTTTTTATAGTTTTTAAAATGCTTACCTTTGAAATTCTTTCTTTGATCTCGAAGAGATCTCTAAAATCTTTTTGCAATCATGCTAATTTCATCTTCATCATCTTCTACTGTTCCCTTAAGCGCCATGCCTCTTGCTGGTTCCTTCTCAGACTTAGAGTCAATCAACATCTCATGAGTCATAAGGGAACCAATCAGCTGTTCCAGAGACAAGGTAGACAGATCCTTTGCTTCGTATACTGCTGTTACCTTGGCTGTCCATGCATCTGTTAAACTACGCAATAATTTTCTCACAAGATCCTCGTCAGATAAATTTTTACCAAGAGATCTAAGATCATTTACAATAGTCATAAACCTACGAAAGCAATCATTGATTTTTTCATTTTTATTCATGGCAAACAATTCATATTTAGACATGATTAAATCAATTTTAGACCGTTTTACCTCACTGGTTCCCTCAAACGCAAATTCAAGGGTGTCCCATATCTCCTTAGCACTACTGCAGCCAGATATACGATTTGTTTCGGTCTCACCTATTGCTTGTTGTAGTATTGACATTGCCTTAGCATTCTTCTCCAGCAATTTGTAATCAGCAGTGACCAATTCGCTATCTTTCTTGGGAACCTGGTTCCCCTCAACATCTGTCTTGAGAATGATATTAGGACCATTTTTAACTACGAGCCAGCATTCATAGTCAATACCCATGATAACATTCTGGATCCTGTTCTTCCACCAAGCATAATTATTTCCATTAAACTTGGGTGACTTGTTGTCATAACCGATTGCACTTAATTCTTGAGTACTCATTCTTAACTCCTCTAGATGTTACTCTTTCGAGAAGCTTAGGCTCTGATACCAATTGAAGGTTCAATGGGCACTCAAGAGGGGGGGGGGTGAATTGAGTGTTAAGTAATCGTTGGCTAATTTTGCTTCTTTTCGAATTATGGTTAAGGGACCAGTTGTGCTGGTTCCCTTATGCAGCGGAATATAAATAAGCAATAAAGAAGACAACAAATTTAACGAGGTTCAGCCAACTCAGGCCTACGTCCTCCTATCCTAAGTTCTTTATTAATCTACTCCGAAAAACAAAGACAAAGAACACTCTGCTGTTTCCCTACTCCGGGAACCAGCAAACCCCACACTCTACTCCGAGTATGCTCTCAACTTACACTCGTAAGTTCTAAACGTGTTTGAACTCACAAACACTCACCCAGCCTTTAGCCTCTTTGCCAAAGACTCAATTACAAGATCAAAACTCTCTAATGATCTAACTCTCAAAAGTTAATGTAGAGAAAATATTAAACACTAGATGCTCTTGTATATGATTCAATAATGGATTTAGTGCTTTTGCTCTCAATAATGAAAAACTCCTTTTTATGCGTGTGAGAGATCTATTCTGATTATTAGCGAATAGATCGTATTTATAGTCTTAGAAAACCGAAACCCTAGTTACCATAAATCATGCCAATAAGATAAACATGATTTAGGTAAGTATTTATCTTTAATTGATTCTATTATAAGATAAAATCAACTCAAGATAATTACTCCTAGTTTTTAGGTATTTAAAGATTATATCACATCTATTTACAGCTGCCAAGATATATTTTCAAAACTGAATTTTCAATAAAAAATCTTTTTATAAAATCTTTTTAAAATCGCAGCTCTAATAACCTGATCAGTTAACCTGGTCCCCAGACCTGGTTCCCTGACTTGAACATGTTATGAAATTTGTTCCAATCCTTGTACCAAATTTCACAACGATGCTCGATATATTTAAAGCACTTTATATATCCATTAATAAACCATACTACGGAGCATTTACATGAAGATCCTAAAAAGCTCTTTCTTGATGTGGATCTTCCTTCATGTAAACTTCAAGTCTTGAAAACCTTCTTTAGATAACCTCAATTGTAACCAATGGAACTTTCTTCAATCTCTTCGAAAGTCCTATCTGCTTCAAGACTTGGAATCAACTTATATTCTGCACAATCAATAAGGTTAATGCACAATATAAAGTAAGTGACTGCTGTACCACGTAGCAACCATGGAAACAGTACATACTGGTTCCCTACCAGTACATAACACTTTTATCATATAACTGTTCCCTGTATAAAGACAAGTTAGTTCAATAAGAAAACTCATGTAAGTAATAACTTGTCTGGGGAAACAGTGTTCTATGTTAGCTGGTTCCCCCAACTGTATCGAACACTTTCAAGGACCTGTTTCCCTTAGCTGTTTGTCATCATTCAAAACTATCAATCAAAACCTAAGGGACTCAACATAAGTCTAACTACAAAAAGCACCATCCCTATTTACATGAACATAAGAAGAACTCCATATTGTTAAGCCAATGTTAAACACTTACAATAAAAGATTTAGAGTTTATTTATTTATAAAAGCTTATCAGGCATACATGCATGTGATATGTATAAACCTTATAATAACATACAACCAACAATGGCAATAAACACCATTATCAACATTTTTGTAGTAATAATAGATATTTTAAGATCGAGTAGCGGATGACTTAACATATAATAGATATTTTAAGATCGGTAGCGGATACGGAGGTAGTACTTCGTATATAGTACGTAATCAACACCGAAATTGTGCATGCATTATGTCAAGATAAATGGCATATATGCCATTGATCAAGCATTGCAAAGAGAAGCACCGATATCTTTAGCAACGCCAAGAAGATAGTTGGCGTAAATATCAGGTTCTGGAACATTCTCGTTCATCTTCTCATACTCAAAGCTCCAAGTTACAGTACAACCCTCATCCTTTGGAGTTAATTGAATCTTGGATATTAATGTCTCTTTGTAGTACTTCTCCACAATTTTTCCACCAAGGTGGCTGTACCTTACACACCTGTTTTCGTCGTTAAGCTCTTCAATTTTTGTCTTCACGATTGCTCGTTCCCCGACTTCATCTGTGGATCAGAGGCATATTTAGAAATATTATGCATTACTAGCTATCTTGTTCGTAATAATATTTGATAGTATCATTTTCACAAACAAAAAAAAATTCATGAATTCTAAAGGTATATATAGTGATAGAGTATATATATCGATCATGGAATTCAACCATAAGCTTAAGCTTTTGATTAATTGAGTTGGTCCTCTAACATGATTTAAGAGCCAGCGTGCGTGACACATAGGGGGTTACGGGTTCAAATCTCATCTACCTCCACTTTTAAGTGAAATATTTCTCACTGGGTATGAGGGGGCCCATGCCGCATCCACATTTCAAGTCCAAAGGGCTCTTCGCATGATAAAGTATATATCGATTCTAGGCTTCAACTATCAACTTAAACTTTTGGTTGAGTTGATTGTTTAACATTTAGCAATATATATGTAAACACATACAAACAAGAAGTATAGAGTACTCTATAATGATTTAATTCGATCTGATAATTTAAGAAATACTTTTAAGCAAATATTTGCTCAAATAATAAGTTTAACTTCACAAATCCTATATATTATTGCGGTAAGCTATGCAGCAGTAAGGCTATATTTAGCTCACCTTATTTAAGGACCCTATTATTTATTTCAAATCATATTAGAAAAATACGTTCATGTCATACTTATAGTTTCATATGCGACTTTATTGCTAAATATTTTTAATTTCGTAATGTAAAAATTCTGAAAATTACATATGGAAAAAAATATACACTTTAATACTACGACCCCATTTGAAATATGTTATTCCTTATAAAGCATATATATTAAATCAAAATTTGGACAAATCAGGCAATAACTACAATAAAATTATAAGAAAAAAAAATAGTTCAGACCGATCAGATAAAAAAATAAGTTTAGATCAAAACATCATAAAAATTAAGTTTAAAAATATTAAAAAAATTAAGTTTAGGTCAAATTATATTATATAATAAGTTAATATCAAATCAGACAAGTATAAATAAGGTGAACTAAACATAACCTTATTGTAAGATGTACGTTCTTACCAATGACATAATTCCATGTTATGACAGCACCAACTCTATCCCAACACTCCCCCTCATTCAGCTCAGCTTTTTGAATTTTGTTAGGGCACATTTTAGGTACAAGGAATGGTTTGTGAGCCCAAATTTCAAAAAACTTGTCTGCATCACATTTGAGCTAAGTTTGGCGTTCAACCCTTTGAAGTTGAGACATTTTTTTTCTCTCTCTAATTTCTATCTCTTAATAAAAATAATCTTGCTCTTGATCTAATTATGTTTTTCTATTCTTTAACAAACATATAAAATATGTTATGTTCTGAGGTTTAAATAGAAGAGTTAAAGGCGCAAATTAAGATAAAGAGATGTACTCTCTAGAATGTTGTGCGTATCACTATGAACCACTCCTTTAACTTGTTTGATTCCCCTTTATTTCTTCAAAAAGAAGATCCTATATTATATGGTTAAGGGAATAGGCATAAAATGAATATATGGGATAATCAAATTTTTTTCTTACGTTTTTGTAAAGCTGTTTACACTTTGAACCTTTATAAATTTGATGCAGATGGCCTGGCTTGGAATCTAATTAATACTATACCAATAATAAATATACAGTATAAGAAAAACATACTTCCTTTATTTTTTTATTTAGAGCAAACACTTCTCATTCCAAGCTAATAACTACATAAATGAATTATCAAATTAAATCATATTTTATTTGAATCCTAGTGTGAATCTCGGGCAGCGTAATACCGCAGGTTGTTATTTTCGCTATGATTTATTTATTTATTTAATTTTTTTAGTATTTAGAGAGCCACAAAGACAGAGGTGAGAATCGATCTCAGGATCTCCTGAAATCGGGAGAGAAGCTCTAACCACTTGAGCTATCCCTCACTCTCTTTTCGCTATGATTTTTGTATATGAGAAAATTTTGAAGTTATGATGTGATAAGTAATTGCATAATATGAAATATTTGATTTTTAAAAAATATCATTACCGTAAGGAGTAAGATAAATAAAAAGTATAAAATACTTTCTTTTAGTGTAGATGTGGCGGAGGCATAAATAATTACACAGTACAGTTATAACTATAAGACATTATTTTTATTATTTGAAACCATTTAACATTAATGTAAAAATGGGAGATTAATGTTATGTCTTCACTTTTCATTCCATAAATCACATGTATTCAAAACCTTGTAATAACTATATTTAAAATTTTTAATTGAGGAACTGGCATGGGCATGGACATTGAACATTTGCATGAGAAGAGAGTGTTGGACATTGAACATTTTTCTCATTCTTTTGTTTTAAGTTTTTCAAATAACTAATAAAAAAATAACTCAACCTATTTACGAAAAAACTTCAATTTTCCATTAGACAAACCCCGCATCTGTCGGAGGAACCCTATTTGCTCATTGCAATAACCCATATTACTCCTTTTCCTCAAGAGAAAAGAAAAATCCCTATTACTCAATTACAAGTAGTTATCTTATACTACCTCCGTTTTTTTTAGTTGACATCATTTGACTTTTACGTTATTCACACACTACATTTTGACTCACTTTTGTGATTTATAGATACGATAAAATATAGTCATGTAGGATCTTGTTTGAATCGTCTCGATGTATATTTTATTAATATCCACTTTTTATAACTTTATAATGTTGATAATTAGAGATATTAAGCGTTAAAAAAATGCGTTGGTAAGTGTGATAATAGAAAAGTGTCAACTAAAAAAAACGGAGGAAGTATATCTGAAGTGGTCACACCATGTGGATAGCCACATATAAGAATTTAATTTGTAATTAACGAAATATGCATTAATGACTTTTTCGTTCTCCCAAAACATTCTTTTTTTGTGAATTGTATAATTAAGTTTGTTGCAAAATCAATTATTTTTATATTGTTTCAAAAAAATCAAATGTTTTTATATTATTTATTAAAAAAAATTGAATTTTTTTTACTAAATTATGCAATAATATAATAATATTTTAAACCTATGAGGATAATGTTTGAATAATATTTTCTATTCACAAATTCTCCAAAAAGGCGGTTGTAAGTTAATTTATTGTAAGACGGGTAACAGTTATCTTAAAAATATTTAAGGTTACCATTTATACTACAAAAGTTATTATTTTTCTAATAATAAATTTTATCTTATAAAAACTTAAAATGTATTACATTATAACCTTTATATTATGTAATCATGAATATATAAGAAATTACACATTAAAATAACATTCAAACCAACAAAAAATTAAAAGTTACTCTTTAAGGGGTTAAAGTTACTATAAAAATAGTTAAACTTACTTTTAAACTGACTGTTTTACAATAAAATTAACTTACACAAGACTTATTGTTTCTATTTATCAGATGGTACCATAGGATTTGTTAAAACTTTGTATGATTACATCAAACACACTACTAACAATTGTAACAGGGATAACACTCCTCTTCATGTGGATGCCAAATCAATTGGATAGTACAGTGCTGAGTTCCATTATGCTGACGAAGATGCATCAAGGCATGATATACATTCCACGCATAAACCTTAGAATTAAAATTTAAGTTACGTAGCCAAATATAGCATAACTTGCCCATTTATTTATAGTAAGTCAGCTAGTTGTAAACTTGTAATAAACTCCGTCAATGTATGAACCATGCAATAAGCATAAAAGCATGCGCAATGGCGCGGCTTATCATCATCATCAAGCGCTGCAAAGATGAGCATCGATTTCTTTTTCAAGCTCGCGTGATAAAGCAACGTGCATTTTTGGTTCAGTAGAATCCTCGTTCATCTTCTCATATTCAATGCTCCACTTCATAATGCAGCCCTCGCCGTTTGGGGTGACTTCCATCTTGGGCTTGAAGGAATTGTAGTAGTTTTGCATGACATATCCGTCAAACAAATTATACCTCAACGACCTGTTATTGAAATTCAGCTCCTCGACTCTTGTCTTGGCTGAAATTAGTGAAGTTTCACCGTTATCATCTACGTATACAGAGACACATACAAAAAGTATTTGTAGCACTACTAATCAATAATTAAGATATACTCGTACTATGTAAGACAAGAGTTGTATGACTTTTACATATTCGGAATTTGGAGATGTTAATTTGTCTTAGTATAGCACACTTCTTACTCTATTAAATAAGATGTTGGATCGAATAATAAATATAAACGAACAAGATATCATCTTAGATAAGTAAAAATAAGGTGAATAAAATACAGCGAGAATATAAGACCAAGTATATGTGTAAGGTATAATATATACTTACTGATGAGATGTGTCCAGTTAATGACAACACCAACCTTATTCTACTCCCCCTCGACCAGTTTGGCGATTTTGTTAGGGCTTATTTTGGAAATAAGGTGAGCTTTGCTAGCCCAAACATCAAAGAAATTGTCAGCATGACACTTGAGCTCAACTTGGCCTTCAACACTTCGAAGCTGAGCCATTTTTTCCCCTAGAACACTACTAATATACTCTTAGTGAACAAGTTTCTAATATCTCTATGTTGAGTCGATCGATTGATGGAAGGTGTTGACCATTAAAAGGTTTTGATGATGATGTTAATGATTGAGCAAACTTTTATCTAACGAAAGTTTTCTAGTGTTTTGATGTTTAATTTAATTTGCAGAATAAGTAAACTCTGGGAGTTGAAGTGAGGTCTGGAACAAAGAAACTTAAGAAGACTAACTAAGGATGATAAGTAAGATCAGAGGAAGGGTTCCAGAAAGAAGTTCTCTGAACAAAGATGGATGGAACTAGAAGGTGTTCCCTAACAGGAACATATCAAGAGCTTCATAACAAAAGCTTGACAACAAGTTCCAACAGGGCTTGGTCTGCGAGTTCTGATGTAATGTTGGAAAAGAATGACAGCAGGTTGTGGTGACCTAGGCTGCGGTTCTAATTGGAACGTGATCCCAAGAATCAGTAACCAATGCAGAGCTCGAGATATCAACCGAAAGATGAACTTCATAACTTAGGTTGTGTGAAAGATAAGTTTGTTATTTAGGATTGATGTAAATGTTGTTTATTATGCATGGGACTTATTAGAAATCAGATAAAGCTTGGCAAGCTAATCAATTCGTAAGTAAGTAAGAGATTATTATGAGTTTATGAAAAGGAATCTATTTGATTTTGTCTTTTAAAATCTGTTTTACTTGGAATTATCTTTTTCATCTAAACTCTATCTTTTCTAAAAACGAATTTGACAAGATGAGGTTTTCTGGAAAAACGAAATTAAGTTTACTTGATTTCTATTTTAATATGATAAGGTCGAAATTCAGTTTTATCTTTAGCTTATCATTTCTCAAAACCCTACTTTGCTATCTTGATGTCTTCTATAAATAAGCAAGAATGTTTTCAAAGTAAAGTGAGAGTTTTAGCGTGAAAACCACTAAGTGCTTAAGAGTAAGTTTGCCAAAGGTTTAAGCTTTATCATTTTGATTTCGGGTTTCATGTGTAGCTTTCCAATTATATATTAGAGTGGGTCTTTGAGTTGTAATTGGTTTTTAGGTGTGTTTGAATTCTTAGGAATTCAATTGTAGCTTTTAGAGCACAGTGAGTGAGCTTATAGTGAGAAGCCGAGTGTGAGCGCTCTGGGAGTGCTGTGTGAATCTGATCTAAGTGTGGTACTTAGGTTAGGAAGGATGGGGTCCTATCAGGTAGAAAGTTTCCGATTAGGAACTTGTGAGTGTAGCAGGCTTCCGGGTAGGAACCTGTGAGGTAGCAAGCGTACGGGTAGTAGCTTGTGAGTGTAGCAAGTTTCCGAGTAGGAACTTGTGAGAAAGGTCCGTGTGTAATAGGTTGTAACAGGAGTGTTGCCCTATTATAGTGAAAGTTTGGTTTGCAATTGATATATATATATATATATATATATATTTTGTATCTATTGGTATAGTATTAGATGCAAAGTGTAAAAAAACTTAAATAAATTGATCACTACTCTATATATTCCTTCTATGTCCATTCCAATTATGGCAATAATATAGATTTTCTCAAGAATTAATGGGGAATTGAACCGAGTTAAAGGAATGGTTGTGAAACAACATACATGCCACTCTAGAGAGTGCATGTCTGAAATTATCTTAATTTGAGATCCCAACACTTTTATTTAAACCTCAAGGCAAAACTTAGTTCACAATAAATCAGTTAAGGAAAAAAAAAAGGTTTTAAAATCAAGAGTACGTAATATTATTTTTAAGAAAAGAGAAAAAAAATGGCTCAGATTCAAAGGGTTGAAGGCCAAACTGAGCTCAAATGTCATGTTGATAAGTTTTTTGAAATTTGGGGTCAAAACCCATTCCTTATATTTAAAATGCGCCCTAAAAAAATCCCAAAAGTTGAGCTTAATGAGGGAAAGTCTTGGGATAGAGTTGGTGCTGTCATCACTTGGAGCTATGTCATTGGTAAGAACGTTTTACTCTTATTGTTCCATAGCTTACCGTGATAGTAGTTAAGATATGTTAAGCACAATTTTTGAGCAAATATTTGTTTACGAGTATTTTTATCAGATTGAATTGATCACTTGGAAGTTTGGAACTATGTAACCGTGATTTTTAAAAAAAAAAAAAAAACAAAAAAAAAAACAATTATGAAGATGCAAGCAACTCCGAAGGACGATGGATGCACTGTAAAGTGGACCTCTGAGTATGAGAAGATGAACGAGAATGTACCTGATGCAGATATTTACGTCGATTATCTTCTTGGCATTGCTAAAGATATCGGTGCTTGTCTTTGCAATGTTTGATCAATAATGGCATGTCAATATACATGCCATTTTATCTTGTCATGCATGCTAGATCATCATGGTTTAAACATGCATGATTTATTACTATGTTAAGTCATCAGCTACTCGATCTTAAATTATCTACTGGTATTATTGCTGCTAATTAAGTACTAAGGGTTATGTATATCACATGCATGCATGTATGTTTGGTTGCTTTAATTTTATAAATAAGGAAGCTCTCTTTTAAGTGTTAAATCTTGTATTATATAAGAATACATCTTATGTTCATGTACTTATAAGATAGAGCTCATAGATGTACGTAGTTCCCTTGAAGATATATATACTGGAGCTTTGTCTTGCGAGAAGGCATCGATCCTTTGAATGTAGCAAAAAATTGAAATCAAATAAGCAATGCTACATACATCACGATGAATCAATTATTAAGTCATTAATCCTTATTTCTTCGAAAACATTATAATTTTGTTTTTTTATTCTTCTAAAGGAAAGTTGGAGTCCTTTTCCTCTTATGCTAACCTTTGTCTTTTTGTTAATTTCTTTTTAGTAGGGGTAAGCAAGGATGCTCCCTTTCATTTTGGCAAAAGTACTGGTATAAAATTTTCAATTTTTGCCTCAAGCTTGGGGCTAATAAGTCAAGACATCCCCACTTGTCTCCATTTAAAGATTTGAACATACTAACCAATTTCTGATTAGCATGATGCAATATAACTAACAAAAATCAACATCAAGCGAAGATTATTAAAATAAATTTGAATGACAAAAGGAAGCACGTAAACCACTTCCAACTATTCAATCAAATTAAGTACTTTACTTGATTGAACAATTTTTTTTTTTATTTTTTTTGAGAAAAGATTAGAGCTTCATTAATTCATGGACAAAGTGTCCGTTATTACATAGGAGAAGATCTCATTTGGGCAATGGTTAACGCAAACTTGCTCTATACCAAAGGCCACTAATCTAGCAAGATGGTGAGCGACATAGATCCCGTCTCTCTTAACACGTGACCATTTAATAAAATTAAACCAAGAGCTAAGATCAAGAACATCATCTAAAACATTGTCGAGGTCCGTTAGATAGGTTGAAGCCTTGTCAAGACGCTCCATAACTGCTTTGCAATCCGACTCAATAATTACATTTTTGAGTCCAAACTTCCTGCCCAGCTTGATGCCAAAGTGCACTGATTTGCGTTCAGCAATCTCAGGGGTCTAGAACCCCCGCATTCTCCTTGTACCGGCAAAGATAACCTTCCCTTGAGCATCTCTAGCCACTGCTTCCATGCCAATCCTACCCCCTTCGATAATCGCTGCATCACAATTTATTTTGACAAGCGAACCCGAAGGAGCCTTCCATATTTTGCAGCTCTTCTCTCTCGGCTTAGGCAAATGACCATATATTTTCTTCGTATAGCTCCGGTGATCCTCAACAAGTCTGAGCGCTCTATCAAGAACAACATGGTGCGGCACTTCCTTGTTGTTAAAAACTTTATCATTCCTGCGATACCAAATGAACCAGAGCAGCGCCACACATGCCTGCCTTTTCTTCACATCAAAATGATTCCAACTTAAAAATAGCTCTTGGAAGTTAACTTCATTGCGCTTTTGAATCAGGTCTGCACAGCCAGAATCACGCCAAAGCTCCTTTACAGCGTTGCACTCAAACAAGGCATGTTTACAGACTCGGTTTGGTTACACCACGAAAATCTATCATCTTCACTCATATGCCTCCGCTTGAGAAGCTCACGAACAGGCAGAGTTCTAGTGCCAAGTCGCCATAAAAAATGTCTGATTTTTGGGGTTGTGTCCATACTCCATATTTCGACCCACACCTTATGGAAATCATCCAAATTGCAAGATTTCCCCAAAAGATATGCTGATTTGACCGAGTACTTGCCATCTTTCGTGAAGGCCCATGTTAAGCAATCACTTGGGCTTCTAAAGCTTAATGGTATAGCAAGTATGCTGCTACAGTCTTTTTCATTGAATATGCTGGACAGTAGTTCGTCATCCCATTCAAAACTATTCGGTTTGATAAGATCACGAACTAGGGACACACTTTCAGACCTCGGAGATGAAATGAATCTACCTTCATCATACACCACCCAAGGATCATCCCAGACATTAATATGTCGTCCATCTCCCACCCGCCAAATCAACCCCTCAAGAATCAGAGATTTTGAGCTCCAAATACTCTTCTACGAGTAACTTCCAACAAGACCTAGAGATGAGTCCAGATAAGAAGAATGTGGGTAGTACTTGCCTTTCATTACTCTGGCAAACAGAGAATTCGGTTCTTGGATGAGGCGCCATGCTTGCTTGCCAAGAAGAGCTATATTGAAAACTTCCATATCTCGAAATCCTAGACCACCAAGGCATTTAGGGGTACACATGGAATCCCAACTTCGCCAATGGACTTTCCCTCGAGAAGAGGAGCTTCCCCACAGAATCTTGCAGTCATTGATCGAATGTCATCAAGCACCCCTGTCGGAATTTTGTAAACACCCATAAGATAAGTAGGAATTGCTTGAATCATCGATTTGATTAACACCTCCTTCCCGGCTCTAGAGAGTAGTTTTTTCTTTCCATCCTTGTAGCTTTTTCCAGACAAGGCCCTTGAGAGTAGAAAAAATGGATATTTTATCGTAGGAACCCCTAGATACTTGTTGTGAACATCCACCCTTCTCATCTTCAATAAATCAATGAGCTCATTTTGCTTTGACATATCGACTCCTTTGCTAAGAGAAACTTCTGATTTTTCATAATTGACCTTTTGCCCGGAAGCGGCTTCATATAAGTTGAGTAATTCAACTATTTTTGCGCATTTCTCTCAGTTTGCTCTAGCAAAAAGAAGACTGTCATCTGCAAAAAAATAAATGAGAAATTTATAGGCTCTGTCTACTATCTCTAACTCTGAGTATCTGACGGTTCTCAACACCTTTCCTGATCATACCCCCGAGAGAGCATCAGGCATCATAATATTATGGTGAGAGGGGATCACCATGTCGAAGACCCCGGGACAGCTTACTCCCCACAAACACCTCCGTTAATAATAAAAGAGTAGGACACGGAGTTGACAAAATTCATCACCACATTGACCCAAGGAGCCGCAAAACCCATTTTTAACAGCAATTTTTCAAGAAAAGACCACTCAACCCTATCGTATGCTTTAATCATGTCGAGCTTCAAAGCTACAAAACCTTTCCTGCTTTTACTTCATTTTTTAATAGTATGGAAAAGCTCCAAAGCTATCATGGAACAAGGCACTTTGATGTTCAGATATTATTTCGGGATTGATTTTGATCTCATCACAATAGCCTTCGACACCAATTTATAGATCACATTACAAAAAGCAATAGGGCGAAGCGCCGACAGAGAGGTAGGGGAATTTACCGTCGGAATTAGAACAATGTTGGTGCCATTAATCTGAGCCGGAGACAAGGAGCCATTAAGAATACCACAAACATGATCTGCTACTTGGTCTCCCACTATGTGCCAAAACTTTTGATAGAATATGGCATGAATCCCATCCGGTCCCGGAGCTTTGCACGGATGCATAGCACTCAATGCTTCAAAAATTTCGGCTTTGGTGAAGGGTTTGAGAAGCGCTGCATTATCTTCTGCTGACACCACATTACTGACAGCATCCAAAATCGACGCACAGGCCTCATTGGATGGCATAGTCGACGAAAACAACTCCTCATAGAAGTGTTGAACTATGCTTTCCAATTTATCATCCTCCTCGCACCATTTTCAATTCTTGTCAATGAGTCCCTTGATCTCGTTCTTTTTCTGTCTCTGGGAGGCCTTGTGATGAAAGTAACTTGTGTTGCGGTCCCCATCTTTAATTTCATACACTCTAGAACGGAGGTACCAGTACGCCTCCTGTTTGTCACATAGATCTTCGAGCCGTTTTTCGAGAGATGAGCATAAAGCCCTGTTAGCAGCACTTATACTTTTGCTTTGTGCTTCCCGAATCTTATTTTCAACCTCCTCGATTTGCTTCTCCAGGTTCTCGAAGTTTTTACTGCTCCATCTCTTTAAATCTTTGACCATAGTCATAAGACCCCCAAGCATTATTTCACCCCTCGAAGCATCCTATGAAGCCTTCATAGTGTCTATACACGAGTTGTCAAGGAGCCAACTCGTTTCAAATTTCGGGGTCTTTCTTTTCTTGTTTTTCCTTCTCACTTTCCTCTGAAATCTGATAAGGATTGGCGTGTCGTCCGACTTATACCTGATCAAATGCTCAGCACTAGCATCCGGAAACAGAGTGAACCAAGCATCATTTGCACAAAATTTGTCTAACCTCTCGCGAACGATAGTTTCTTTGCCTTAAATTCGATTAATTCCAAGTTTTATGAATTCAATTTTAGGGTTTCTTTCTTTTTACAACGTCAATGTAAATTGATTTTACATTTCTTGATTTTCCATTTAAGACTATAATTAGTCATGAAATCAAATTTTAGGGGTTTGGGGATTTTTTTTTCTTGATTTTCCAATGTAAATAGTTGTTACGGGTTTCAAATAGGGATGCAATTAAGCTTGGGCTATTTTTAAGATTAGTTTAATTCATGCTGCTCCAACTAGAAGGATTCTACTCACACTTAGTTTGTGACTCAACATCAATCTCCAGGTGTCTAGACTCGTGTGCTACTAAACTTGATATTTACTTTTAATTTCTAGGTTATCCGTTTCTTTTGATTAAAAATTTCTGACTTTTGTTTTAATTTTAGTGCTTTAAATATTATCAAATGATTTATGCTCATGATTAATTGTTTGAATTTAATTAGTGGTTGTTTGATACATGAATAAAGTTTAGTTGAATTTACATTGGTTGATTGTTGTTATGGTGGTTAAGTGACCAAATTAAGCATTAGAATTGGTAATGTGGTTTCATACTTTCTCGAATGTCATGTCAAAAGAAAGAGTAAAGAAAAACATCAATTTCAATGTTAGGCAATGGTTGTTACTTTATTTATTGTTAAAGCGACTGAAAGTTACTATATTTATGTGATGATCTTACTGATTTAATATGACAATATTGAAAAAATTAGGAATTTGTTACTTTAGCTGTTGTTAATAATAGTTAGTGAATTCAGCTTCCTAGTGTGCCAGTGTTTAAATGCCTCAACTAAGTATTCATTGTTAACTGTGATTCTTGTGTTCTACATTAGGCTAAGAGAGCTCTAAGAGCATTGAAAGGATTGGTAAGACTGCAAGCACTTGTTAGAGGGCATGCTGTGAGAAAGCAAGCTACTATAACTCTTCGTTGTATGCAAGCTTTAGTGAGAGTTCAAGCTCGGGTGTGAGCAAGGCGTGTGCGTTTGGCTTTAGAAAGTCAAACTGAACAGCAGAAAGCTCATCGACAACTTCTACAGGAGGCACGTGTTCGAGAAATAGAGGTGATTACTTGCTCTATTGTCAACGTCTATTATCTCTTTGGTTTCTTTGATTGGGACTGGGATCTGGCAATCTAAAAATATTATTAATCAGACCTTTGTAACCTTAATTCCTCCTTGGCAACCATCATTACTTGGATCGTTTTCATGGTTTAATAGTAACCATGGTATTATACTATACATGAGGCTAACTCTATCCAACATTTGAAAAAAAAAGCAATTTAAGAAATCTCTGTTTATTGACCCCTGCTTAGTTGCCAAGTGAAATTTCAGTATGTTCTTGTCATATAGTGCATGCTTATTCTCATGTTCAGAATATTTATTCATGTACCTGCCTATCCTCATACACAGTTAGTTTTATTTCCATCCTTAAATCTATTACAAAATTTTAGATATTAATTCCCTTAAGTTTGGAGTGTTGTTAGTAGATTCTTTTTGACAATGCATACTATGACATCTTAAAATCAGTGCTTGGTTTTTGGTAAAGCATGAAGTGTTTCGAAATAATGGGATGTTCACCCATTAGATCCGGCCTTAGCCTGACTATACATCTTACTGAATGTTTATGTATTCAGGAAGGATGGTGTGACAGTGTCGGCTCTGTAGAACAAATATAGTACAAGTTGCTAAAGAGGCAGGAGGCTGCTGCTAAGCGGGAGAGAGCTATGGCATAAGCCTGACTATATATCTCACTGATTTGTTTGTGTGTTTTGTTTATTAGGGGTTGGATATGTGTAAACAGTGCTAGAGGTGGATAATACTGAAGTTGAAGAAGATGCTTCATGAATTGCTTTACGAGAAATTGGAGAAGCAGGAGAAAGAAATGATAATGCGGTCCAAAGAATTGCCGAAAATATTGTTTGGCGGACAAAATGATTTAGTTTTAACTTTTAATTGTTTTTTCCTTAGTTTAACTAGTGTTAATTTAATTTTGTAATTTTCCTTAGAGATAACAATGTACAATTTGAATTCATATTAATAAAATTCTAATTTTTTTTTTTTTTTTTTTGAAAATTCTGATTTTAATTGTATTATTATTATTATTGGCATTAGGTATATGAATTGTGTGGAATTAGGTATAGGGAACCGTGGCATTAGGGTATATGCATTGTGTGGCATTAGGTATAGGGAACCGTGGGCATTAGGGTATATGCACCGTGGCATTAGGTGTAGGAAACCGTGGCATTAGGTATTATAGCTAATGCCACGGCAATAATGTTGCCGTTGCATCAGGTATTGATTTAACGCCACGGATCATTGATGTCGTGGCTTAGGTGTCATATGCCGTTTCATTAAACCTACTGCAACGCTAGCAGATGCCACGGTACATGGCCGTTGCATTAGGCCTAATGCCACGGATTTTGACGCCTAATGCAACGGATTTGGGGTTGCAATAGATCAAAAATGTAGTAGTGAGAAGAACCCTTTCTAACAACCCTCTTCCAAGTTCTAGGGACCATGCTTCCTTTAGGAGTCACAACATTCTCAATACCAGTACCAGTAGAGAACGAAGATTCCATGGTCCTTTATAGAACCATGAACAGCAATCAACTCTTTTTTATTTAGACCATCCTCTAAGCTCAGGTAGTTAGAGATTACATCAGGGGATGATGAAAAGCCCCTTGAGTTTAATAGCATTCGGATCGGAGTAACTAAGCCTAGCAGCAGAGCTTCCACTCTTAAGTTATCCTAACAATCTCTTCTCTTTTTCACGATCACTGGCAAAAACTTTTAATCTCTTCTTTGGCGATCCCCGCATGAAAGGACCATACTTGTATACTACTTCCTCCTTTGCTAATCCATCTTCACAATCTTCTTCAACATGGTCCAGACAGCCATAGTAAAAACAGAAATCCGCAAGACGTTCAATTCGTATTTGGCCCCCACCCATTTGGACGAGGTAGGGCCTCTAGCAATACCAATTCCTCTTCGAAGAGGTTTATTTAAAA